CCGACTAGGTGATTATCTAGCCTCCTTTTGAAGACCCCCAGGGTAGGAGCCAGCACCACTTCTCTTGGAAGTTGGTTCCAGCTCCTAGCCACCTTGACTGTGAAGTAGTACTTCCTGATGTCCAGCTTGAACCTACTCTCGATCAACTTATGGCCATTATTCCTAGATACTCCTGGTAGTGCTCAGGGGAACAGAGTCTCTCCCATTCTCCACTGGTCCCCCTTAGTAATTTTCTAGACGGCCACCAGACCCCATCTCAACCTTCTCTTGTGGAGGCTAAACAGGTTCAGGTCCCGTAGCCTCTCCTCATTGGGCCTGCCCTGCTGCCCCCTGATCATGCAAGTCTTGAACCGTGCTTTGCTCTGCTGTATTGCGGAGTGGATTTTTATAGACCCCTGGATATCCAGGGGTCTTATTTTCCCCCTGTGCTGCAAACTTGCCGCGCATGCTTGTCCGGTCGCACCCTTTGAGTTCTGCCATACTGAAATGGGCTTTGTTTTATTTAAGCCATTTTCAAATGAATAAGGTCCTTCAGCTTCTGAGAAGGGCGAAAGCTCCTCAGCTGAATGTTGATCTAATTCATGAGCCAGGAGTCCTGCTATTAGGTGTGGTCTGGCATCAGACCAAGACTTGGGTGGGCGGGAGCTGGAAGTTCACAGGGGAGATGCGAGGACCACCTGCCTTCTGAATGCACAGGATTTTCCTTATGAAATCCTACTGGTCACCCATCCTGGTCTCTACAGAGAAAGGACTTGTTTGGGGTAGTTGCAGGCTTAAAAAATAGGTGACTACCAAAGTGGTTGAACAGTCCAGAAAGCTCTTTGGAGGGTATGGAAAGTTGTCCCGATGCTCTGCTAATGGAGTAGCAGATGGGAAGCAGGGTGGGTTTTGCTGAGGGTCACATGTCTTTCAGGGTCCTATTATCTTCAGATACTTTAAGAAGCTACCTAATGCTTCTGAATTCCCCTTTTTCATAGAGATGTCTTGTGTTGAGGGCTATTTCCATACTGCTCTAGTCATGTTACAGGTCTTAAAACACTACTACATATGCAAAGACTAACTAACTTTACCCTTTTTTCTAGGGACAGGAGAAAACTCATTGGGAAAGTATTTGGCAGTTGTATTCAGTTCATTTAGTTTTGAAAAATATCTCAGCAGCAGGTTGTTATAGAAGCATTATAGCACATCCAGATTTTAGTGTTCATTGCGTTTGGATATAGTGGTGAAGTTATTGGCAAAGTACTGTAATTGTAACAGTACAAAATTCTCTTTCTTGGTGTTTTTGGTTTCTTGCTCCTGTGTTGGGTTTTTCTATTATAGATTTCAGTGTCTTGCACTGATAATACTATAGGTGCATACTGTGAGTGACCCTTGGCACTCTGAATCTGGTCAGCATTTTAGGCTACATTTTAGTATCCTAGGTCACTTTCTTGTGCATCTCTGGATTAACTGTATATAAATTAATCTGTTCTAACATTAGCAGTGTCCATTCCAAAGATAAATTTGCAGCTCTGTTTTTAAGTTTGACACTTAACATCCTTTGAAAACTAATAAAAATTGGCCTAAAATTTGGTAGATGTAACTTTTAGAGAAAAAATTCTAAGTGAAATGAGCACAGGAGATTGAAGAGCACTCTTGCTAGCACCCTACTGGCTAGGTTTGGTTTACTTCTGAGCATGCAGACCACATTCAGTCTTTCTGGTGTACAGACGGTATTTCTTCCAGGGCCTTATTATGTGGCTAGGATCCAGATCTAAATCTGATATCTTCAAAGGCACTTCTTCACGTAAACCACCCTGTCTCGATCCTCGGAAGTGAGTCAACTAACAATCCACAATTCAGGTTGTGGGCAGGATTGTCCATGTATTTTGTGTTGGGTATTCTAGAATTCCTTCAGGATGACTTGCCTTCTCAAGGGCTAGCTGCTTTCACTGGTACCTTTTGAGAGGGAGGCAAAAGAATTGAACATGCCTGGCTCAGTGCTACTTTGCCATTCAGGTGTTAGATCTTGTTACAAAATAACAGTGCAGATTAATATGGTTTTACAGATGCTGTTAATTCAGAAGCAGCCTGATTATGGCAGTTTCCCAGCAAAGGAATGACTTTCCCAAAGTCCACAGAGTGGCCCCCATTTAGGGCCAGATTCAAAGTCCATTGGAGTCAGTGGGAGTGAAAATTGGACAGCTACTTCATTTTTCTTACTGTTTGGTGTTTACAAGGATACTGAAAAAAGGCCAGTTGCATTTTTAGCTTGTGCTTGGACATGCCAGTCAGTGCTTCAAGCAAGTCTGTCCAGGAAGCTGTTAAAGCAACAAGTGCCTGCTTTATTACTTTCGGGGGGGGCATTAGGATTTTTTTTCTGACTTTCTCCCAGTTTATTAATGTCTGAAAATGCCATTCTTTCTTAAGGTGTTGGTTCTGTCTTTTCTCTCCATCTATTTTTCCTTTTTTGTGAGAGACTTAATACATTTGTTCTGAGTTTGCTAAATCCTTGGCCACTATTTCAGTTTGGCTCTGTGCTGATTAACCTCCATTCTCTGAGGTTCTTAGCACTGAATGCTTTGATAGTGTGTAACTTGCTAGCAATCAAATTTCTTGTGAAAGACCTCTATTAAGATTCTCAGATTGGACTTTTAAGCCAGTCAGATTTTTTTCAAAGGATAAATCAATGATTACAGGGTTGGAAGCTGCAGGTTTTTGTAAAGGCTAATTTAAGAGCTTGTTTCTAGTTTGTTCATATCTTGAATAGACCAAAGGTGCATTTTTCCCCCAGTATTCCAATTCCTGCCACACAAACTTGAGTGCTCCATAGGAGAGACCATCTCC